AAAGAAAAAAAACTAATATAATATCTCCATTCCCCCAGACGCCTAAAATGCAAATGCTGTCGGGATCTGCTATCCCTCACAAATTAAACCTACTATAATAAATCGGAAAAAAAGAGAAATAAATAAAAGCAAGCTATGAGTATCATTAATGGATGATTTCTCTATACATGTTAATACATTACTGTAATTTAAAATTGTACTCAGAACACATAATATACTTATTATGCCAACAGGTATAGATTGTATATTTTCAAATGAAGAAAAAAAAAATATAATATAATATAATTTAAAATGAATGGCAATGTGACAGTATATGGCACTTCTRAGTATCAAAGGTTTTCAAAGGCATTAGCCGGATTTTATTAATTTCAAACAAACTACAAATAAAACAAAGAGATCGAATAATAAACGTTTTTTGATATAATATTCTATAGATATACTATATTTTATTAAATTATCTATGTATAATTTGTGTGCATTGTCACACAAATACTATAATATTAAATGAAATAAAATAAAATATTATTCAAAAAAAAAAACGCGTTAAATACCGGTAATCATCTGCGACTCCATGAGTCGAGAAATAATGAAAATATATTAAACCAGATATGATAGTTTTATGCCTAAAGTTACTTTAAAAATTTACATTTTTACGAGTATTTTACATCAACATGTGTAAACTTCATTGATAACAATGACTTTAACGTGACTTTTTCGTAAACTAAAAGTTTCAACTCGGATGAAAATCGGACAGTTTTATGATGTATTCGTCGTTATGAATTTTACTTTCTAGGGAATTTAATTAAATTTAAAAACATATACATATATACATGTTGAAAACATTATACTATAACTATGATATTGATTAGTAGTACTTTCTTCCTATAAAATATTTTTTACAAATTGAAATTCTCGATGTTTCAATAACCTTCAGGATTCTGTCAAACGGGTTTTCTGTGAAGAAATGGATTTATTAATGTATTTTTTATCTTCGTATCAAAAACATTTCGTTATTAT